CAGGTGGATCTTTGTGAGTTCAAGACCAGCCTGGTCTACATAGTGAGTTCCAGAACAGCTGGGGCTACAGGGAGACCCTGTCTCAAAAACACCAAAAAAAAAAAAAGTTAGGTGTGGCAGCATGCACCTCCCAGGGTGGGGAAGTAGAGACAGGAGGATCCCTGGGGTTTGCTGGGTAAAAAGACCAGCCAAATTGGTGAGCTCAAGGTTTGGTAAGAGACCCTGTCTCAAAAAATAAGGTGGTAAGTGACTAAGGAAAACACCTGAATTTGACTTCTGTACCCCCTCCCCACACGATGTGAGCTAAACCTTCCATCCTGGGAGAAGCCACATTGGTTCACATGCCAGAAAATGTCCTGTGGGATGAGATGCCTCCACAGCCCCCGCGGGCTTTAGCCACCTCCTCTTGAGTCAGTTTGTTACTAAGCCAGGTAATTCCATATTCACAGGCATTTATGATCTAATTATAGCAGGAGATTTACAACATTTTGTAGTTAATGACTTTTAAACACATTTTAGAAAGTAGGTTACTGGCTATAGCAGACTCCAATCATAATAACATTACAGCCGTCTACTGCAGGTTTTACCTGCATTGCCTCATCCATAGCAACCAAAGAAGCCATAATAAATATGTTTATCTCCTGGTCGCTGCCTACATTGTCACCCTCTTCTTTACAAGGCTAAAGGTAATATAGCTTTTCAAAAATATACATGGTTCTACATTGTAGAAAGTGTGCACGAACAACATAAACAAATACAAAATTTATAATGGGATAGCTGTCTCATGTTTAATAAAGGGCCCAGGTAAGGTGTGAAATAGGATCAAACACAGCCACACAGAGAACAGTGAATGAGTTCACTTGACACTGACCTCAAACCCATGATCTCAGTTACTGCCTGGGCTCTGCTCAGGACCAGAATGGAGGACAACTTCCTAATTATGTAATCAGCTCCTTGGCTCAGTGGGCCTGAGCAGAAGAGGCTCAGGCTAGTAAACCCAGCTGGGTTCAGCCCCAAGCAAAGGCAAGTCTAGCTGCAAAGCTGCTTCTGGTATTACTTACTCATCGAGCCTGTCCTCAAACGATCTGCAAGAGGCTAAGGGAATCTGCCTGGAGGCAACTGTGTGAATCTTTTGAATGGCTCAGCTTGGGAATATAGACAGAGATGCTGGTGTCAGTTCTAGACACATGACAGAGAGGAGAATGCCGCACCTGTGTGTGTGTGTGTGTGTGTGTGTGTGTGTGTGTGTGTGCAGGCAGGTTCTCAGTGTGTGACCCTGACTGGCCTAGAACTTTCCATGTAGTCCAGCCTGGCCTCAAACTCACAGAGATCTACCTGCCTCTGCCTCCCCAGTGCTGGAATCAATGAATGTGCCATTATGCCATGTGAAAATACCATATTTTTTAAAGATTTATTTTACTTTTAATATTATGTGTCTGTGTGTGTACAATACACATGCGTGAAGGTGCCTTTGAGGACAGAGATGTCCCTTGGAGATAGAATTACATCTGTCATGGATACTGGGAACTAAGCTCAGATCCTCTGCAAGAGCAATACACACTCTTAACTCCTGAGTTATCATTCCAGCCCCCCAAATGCCATATTTAAAGGAAAAAAAATAACAAAGTCAAAAGGCCCATGACAGGACACCTGCCGTCTCAGAAGTTTCCCATTACCCTATTCAGGCTAGAGTTGATATGTATATCCTGAATGTACAACCCAGTGCTGACACCCATTAGCTCTGCTGGGGATCAATAACTCTCATTCCCTTGTTGTTTTCCTCTGTAAAATGGTAACCAGAGTCCCAAAATCATTATGAAGATAAAATATGATTTAGAACAGTACCCGCCACTTGGTAACTAGATGATACAGTTTGAATATAAAATGTCCCCATCGGCTCATGTGTTGAATACTTACTCTCCAGCTGGTGAGGTTCTGGAAACATTAGGAGGTGGGGCCAGGCTGGAGAAGTAGGTCATTGGGGGTGTGCCTTTGAAGAGTACCTGGTTGGGAAGTTCTCTCTCTCTCTCTCTCCCTCCATCCCTCCCTGGTGGCCATGAGATGAGTTGCCTGTGGTACATTCTCTTGAGAACAAGACGTGAGTAGTTGCACCAGGCCGTCCATATCATGATGGACAGAAACCTCTCAACCCATAAGCTAAATCTTTCTTCCCTTAGGTTGTTTCTGTCAGATGTTTGGTCATACTACCAAGAGAGCTAAAGCACTAATAAATGTCAGTTGGTATTCGTAACTCCGTGCTTCTGGCCTGGCTGATTGCTGCCAGAATCCTGTGACTACTCTTCTGGGGATGTGGAACTGGGATGAAGTTAGTCTTTCTGGGTGCCTGGATCTGCAGCACAAAATTTCAGTACTTTGCTTTGAGGCCTGAGGAGCAGAGTGGCAATCTCCAGAGAGAAGCATGAACAGCACTAGTGGAGGGAGGGCATGTCACTTGTGTTCCCTGTTGGTTCCCTCCTGCTGCAGGTGCTCGGCTAAGCCTGCCTGCATTCCTGCCCCATGTTTTCACTAGACACTGTTTGCTTATTTAATCACCCTTTGTGCTTAGACTAAATCTGGGAGTTCTATTTTTCCTTTTTTTTTTTTTTTTTTTTTTTTTTTTGAGCGGGGTCTCTTTGTAGCCCCAGCTGGCCTGGAACTCACTATGTAGACCAGACTAGCCTTGAACTCACAGAGATCCACCTGCCTCTGTCTCCCCAGTGCTGGGATTAAAGGCATCTGCCATCATGCCTGGTGAGTTCTATTTTTATTTTTTAGCCAAAAATCCTAATGTGCCTTCACTTAGGAAAAGATGGCATCTGCCTTAGAAGAGGAACAGAATCCATACTGAGAATGGATCAAAATTGAGTCACAGGTAAAGAGCTCAAACTGTCTCTATGTGCTGGATAGCTTTAGTGTCAACTTGGCACACTTGAGTTGAGGGAGCCTCAATTGGGGAATAGCCTTCACTGGACTGGCCTGTGGCCATGTCCATGGGGCATCTTCTTGATTGTTGAGTGATGTGGGAGGGCCCAGCACACTGTGGGTGGTGCCACCCCTGGGCAGGTGGGCCTGTGTTGCATAAGAAAGCAGGCTGAGCAAGGGCCAGGGGAGCAAGCCAGTAAGCAGCGTTCCTCCATGGCCTGTGCTCCAAGTCCTGCCTCCAGGTTCCTTCCCTGAGTTCCTACCTTGGGCTCCCTGATGAACTGTGACCTGGGAGATGCAAGCCAAATAAACCCTTTCCCCCTACCCCCAAGTTGGTAGTGGTCAGAGTGTTTTGTCACAGTAATGGAGAAACAAACTATGACACTCTACCTATAGAATTAGTATTTAAAGTCTCTTCTCCCCCAGACCCATATCAACCTGCTTGTTTTGTTTCCTAGGATTTGAGTCGTTGTGATTGAAAGACATACAGAATCAGGGCCCATGAAGAATTTTTTCAAAGTACACACTAGGTGCTTCAAGGGAGGCACGTACCACAGGCAAACCTCTTCATCAACAGGTAGGTGTCTCTACTTCAGTATTTTAAAAGACAAAGGTCTAGGGCTGGAGAAATGGCTCAGTAGTTAAGAGCACTGGGTGCTCTTGCAGAGGACCCAGGTTTGATTCCTAACACCCACATGACAGCTAACAACCGTCCCTAACTCCAGTTCCAGAGCATCTGATGCACTCTTCTGACTTCCACAGGCATTGCATGACACAGATGCCTTTATACATGCAGATAATACACTTCGTCTCCCGATTGACTGGTTCCTCCAATGGGCGGGGCCTGATATGAGCAGGAAGTAGGAAGGAGAGCTAGGAGCCATCTTAGGATGGAAACCAGGAGCTGCAGGTAGAGCATGATGGTGTAGGAAACTCGCAGCAGGGGCAGCAACTCAAAGACAGACTGGAATGACTCCCTGTGGACCTGGGGCAAGATCACTGGCCCTGGAGGAGTGAGGGAATGCAGGGCTATGGGTGTGGCACAGTCTGATAAGGCGGGCTCTGAGTGGCCTTGGCATGGGGCTAGGCACTGGGTACTCAATTCCTTTGTAAGTTAATAAATTCACATAAAATATATTATATGGCTTGTCTGATCGTAAACAGGAGACCCAGAGAGAATTTGGGCCACACACTCACACAGATAAAAAGATAAAAAATAATCAAAAATATTTTTTTAAAAGACAAAGGCCTGACAGAGTGGGATAAAGATTATTTTTTCCCCTAAAGATTTTTCTCAAGGCCAGGTGTGGTGGTGCACACCTTTAATCACAGCACATAGGAGGCAGAGGCAGGCAGATTTCTGTGAGTTCAAGGCCAGCCTGGTCTACATACTGAGTCCCAAAGCAGCTGGGGCTACAGGGAGACCCTGTCTCAAAAAGACCAAACAAACAAACAAACAAAAAAAAAAACTTTCTCAATGAAAATCATGGTTTTTATTTTAATGAAATTGAAAAAGGTTAGAGTAAAGGGGGGGGACTTTATTAGCTTTAGATATTAATATGAAAATGTAGGGCACAGATTTTCATCTCTCCCCACCCTACTATGCCACCAAGTTAACAATATATGAAACTTTATTCTGCTCTAGATATGACAAAACCTTGGGGATCTGAATTCTAGAGGCTCTCTGACCACTCTATGACTCAGGGAACTAGCTCCTGTTAATCTAGCAGCTATTCTGCCATGAGGGTCTTGAGCTCAGATCATGTTATTTTCATTTAGTTTTGTGTCCCACATCACTTTCATTGCACTTCTAGGAAGAATGGTGGGGGCCTGAGTGAAGTGATATTCCCTGAAACTGTAGTGCAGTGTTGGAGGCTTCAACATTTGGCCTTTTGTGTCAGTGGCTGAGGACCCGCCTCCGCAGATACCCCAAGGGGAGATGAAAGGGTGGGCCAGGGGAACACAAGGCTCTCTGTGCACCATTCAGGCACCATCAATAGCAGCCCAGGCCCGGAATGTTCCCTATGGAATGAGGTGGGTGTACTCCTACACAATGGCATTCTCAAAAGAGCACCTACCTGGGTTGAAATAAAAAATAATATTCAATAGATCCTGGTCTCCCCATGTGATGGCGTTCTTATACTTCTGGTACAGAGGGACCAGCATGTCCTCCCAAGCCAGGCCTGTCGGAATCAGGCTGTTCTGGAAGAGAGAAAACCATGAGGTAACTGAGGCAAAGCAAGTTTACTTTGACAATGAGAAAACAGGGCTGTGCCCTTTGTTCCCTGGATGAAGTAGATGCTACTGCCTTGGCTATCCTTGGTCAAAAAGGAAAGTGGGGGCTATGGGTAGAGGTTTCCAGCATATGCTTATAGGTGTGGGTGGACCAGGAACTAGAAGTGGGCCTATGGCTTTCTTCTTTCTTTCTTTCTTTCTTTCTTTCTTTCTTTCTTTCTTTCTTTCTTTCTTCCTTCCTTCCTTCCTTCCTTTCCTCCCTTCCTCCCTCCCTCCCTTTTCTTTCTTTTTGAGACAGAGGCTCCATGTAGCCTCAGCTGGCCTAGAACTCACTACATAGACCAGACTGGCCTTGAACTCACAGAGATCTGCCTGCCTCTGCCGTCATTTTCAGACAGGGTCTCTCTGTAGCCCCAGCCGTCCTGGAACTATGTAGACCAGGCTGGACTTGAACTTACAGAGATCCACCTGCCTCTGCCTCTCGAGTCCTGGGACTAAAGGCCTGCACCACCATGCCCAGCTTTTTTTTTTTTTTTAATTACATATTAGCTAAGTGTGGTGGAGCATGCCTTTAATCCCAGCACTTGGGAGACAGAGGCAGGTGGTTCTCTGTGAGTTCAAGGCCAGCCTAGACTACACAGTGAACTCCAGGCCATATAGGGCTACATAGTGGGACTTTGTCTCAAAATACTAACTAACTAACTAACTAACTGACTGACTGACTGACTGACTAACTAACTAACTAAATAAATAAATATTGTATATATGTGTGTGTGCATGTATGTGTATGATGTGTATGTGAGCAGGGCACACGTGGAGGTCAAAGGTCAACTTTGTGAGGTGGTTTTCTCCTTGCACCTTTCTGTAGACTCCAGGGATCGAACTCAGGTCATCAGGCTTACATCAGGAGGTGGTGCCTTTACCCAGGTTGACTATCCTGTTAGCTTTTCTCTTTTGGAGTGTGTGAGATGTGTGACTATGCATGTTGGTATGTATGGGTACGGGTACATGCTTGTCACAGTACTCATGTGGAGACTGGATGACACCTTTGGGTCCTCAGCCTTCCTCCTAACTTGAGACAGGGTTTCTCCCATTGCTCCTGCCAGCAGCTGACCCGAGAGCTTCCCACAACGCTGTCCCCACCTCTCATCTTCAAGTTGGGGAGTGCTGGGGGTTGCAGACACATGTGCTACTGTGTCCAGCTTTTACATGGGCTCTGGGGATCCAAACTCAGCTCATTAGGTTTGTATGCCAAGCATTTTTATCTACTGAGCAATCTCCCCGAAAACCATGCCTGAAATTGTACCTCTTTCTTAGGCTTATTTCATTTTTTAATTATCTTAGGTACAATTCTTATCAGTGAAGAAACAAAATACAGATCACAGAATCAAGGCATTCCAGGGGAAAACCCATTTCCTTGTGTTATTCATTTATTTAAACTAATTTTGAGACAAGATCTTGCAGTATATCCTGGACTGGACTTTAGCTTGTGACCCTCCTGCCTTTGTCTCCCAAATGCTGGAATTGCAGGTATGCGCCACCATATCAGACTTTCCCCTAGATTTTCTGAGACAGGGTTTCATTAGGCAATGTTGGCTGACCTGTAACTCACTGTATAGACCACGCTGGCCTTGAACTCACAAAGATCTGCCTACCTCTGTTTCCTAAATGCTAGGATTAAAGGTATATGCCACCATGCCTGACCATCCCCTATTTTGAAATAACTACTTTTTTAAACTAAAAGTAACACATCCACAGACTAAATATTCAACCAGTACATTAATATAAAAAATAAAAAGTGGAAGTATTTTTCCTTCTTTCCTCCTCCAAATCCCATTCCCAATTTTCACAGAGGGATCCATTATACTTCTGGAAATTTCTAAGGCATAAAAGTCAGCACATTAGAGGCTAGAGGGATGGCTCAGTGGTTAAGATCACTTGTTGCTCTTGCAGAGGACCTGGGTTCAATTCCCAACACCCACATGATGGCTTACAACTACTATAACTCCAGTTCCAGGGGATCCATCACCCTCTTCTGGCCTCTATGGGCATTGTACAAATGAGGTGCATTTACATATAATCAGGAAAAACATTCATATACATAAAATAAAAATAATAAATTAAAAAATAAAAAAGTAAGCACACTATAGTACATATACTTATAGCACATATGATTTTTTTTCTTCTTCTTTGATTTATTTTTATGGGGCTTTTGGCTACTCTAACATTCTCCCCTCTGAAGAGGTAACCCTAAAATCTTTTAAGGATTAGATAAAAGCTCCCAAATACTTTCAACATTTTTGGCTTTTGGAACACAGTATGTTGCTAAGAGGCCCAAGGACATTTTGACTTCTAGCCAGGAAACTGGCTACTTTTCCTTGGGGGCTTTTTACCCTAACTGACTACCCAATTCCTACCTCCTATTCTTATCATGCCATCCTCTGAAGAGGTTATCCAAATTGCCAATAGGGAATAGGGACGCAGACTGCTCTGGCTTCTTCCATGCTGAACAGGGACACAGGGTGACACAAGTGGAGTACCCATTCAATGGGTCTATCTAAAAGTCT